TCGGGACAAATAATAACATTTTACGTGCACTGTACGTCATAATAAAGGAATGTAATGGAAAAAACTGCATTTCAGATATTTAACTAAAATATCATTATACTCCAGATAGGAAGATAAGATAACGAAGCTAATTGTGTTATACTTACTTATATCGTATCAGCGTCACTTCACATAACATTGCCAGTTACAACAGTATGTTTTAGATTTGAATTCGGTAAATGTTGAACAGACTGTCCACAATGAGAGCATGTTTGAAGTTCAGCGTTTTCTACTTGATAATTAATAGCTTCAGTCTGAAATAAAAGAAAAAAAAATTAATTCCGAATTAAAATATATGCCTGTAAAAGCTAAGTATGAAAAACAATTTGAAATTGATGAAATTTAAACATTTATCATTTAATCACAAATGCCATATAAAAAGAAAACGTATTGATAAAGCACATTGCAAAATAATGATCAATTTATAGCTAACTTGTTTTTTTACTAATATTTCTTTTTTTTTTGTTTTTTACTTTACTGTTTTCTACTACTATATACCTGATATTCTGGAAGTGATATATTTCTAGATGCAGCAGCATATGGTGGTGGAGGAGAACTGTTGTATGATTGATAAACATGAAATTTCGGTTCACTACGTCGTCTTGGCACTGATACTGTGATGTTAGGCCATGAATTATTTTCTGACACTGTTAAGCCATGTTCCAAAGATCTAGAAATTAAAGTTCGGTAATTTTGAAATTAATATAAATTAAATGACTAATAGAGATTATACCTTCTCAAATTCTCTACGCGATCTCGAGTTACTGGAGATCCACGGTAAATCATATGGCGCACATCTTGATTTGATACTGCCGGTACCATTTCAATTATTTCACGCTGACAACTAAAAATAGCCTGACAACTCCGTGCAAAATCTTGATAAGCATCCGCTATACCCTGCAAAACAAAAAATGATCCATGAGAAAAAGGCCAGAATATGCAATTAAAGTAATATGCTAACTTCATAATCTATTGCTCATTTATATTTGTTAGGAATAAATCCACAATTCTGAGTGATTTTTGATAAGTTTGTCTGTCACATATCATTTAATCATTATTGCATAGTTTGTACTTCTGCTAGTTAACTTTCAATCTTCGAAAAGTTCAACAAAAATAAAACAATAGTTGCCCTAACCTGCATACCATTCCGAAATCTGAACATTTTTACAACTTCCATTTCAGCTCGAAGATCGGATAAAACTTGCTCAGATCGTTCCCTCGAAGCTTTAACCTGAAAAGACACTCAAAAATAAAAGAAAGAATCATCTTCAGAATTTTTTCGAGAATTTTAACAAAAACAAACACTTTTCTATACTTTACACTTTTCTATACTATTGCTAACGATGGCATTTTTTTTGATAAAAAAAAAAAAAAAGCCATTAGTTTAAATATGAAATGAACCAGCAATCACTTCTTCAAGTTTCTGCTTCAGCAAATAAATGTCACCACCACGACGTTGTCTGAAGAACGAAACGCCTTTTGCAATTTCACGTTTTAACTTCTTTTCCTTTTCTTCCAAATCTATCACATTTTCTTTTGCATCTTTCACCGCTCGCTCTGCATCCGCTATTTTTTGCAGTTGCTGAGAATTTATCAAAAACATAAATGCGGATTTATTCATAAAACAAAAAAGAAGATTGTATGCATAAATTTTTGTGAATCGTAGAATATTTTAGAATTTCACTTATGATTATCGCTGATAACTATCGTCACTACACTCTACTCTCATTAACATTGTCTCATTATTCTTCCAGAATTAACTTTTTTAAACAATTTTCACATAAACTATTTGAATTAACCTTTTGTGATATGTTTTGCATTTTCCTCCTCCAAGATACTCTCAGAATTTCCTAATGATTATATAGAAATACTAGATCATATATAAGTTTAATTTGCTATCCAGTATTGAACAAACTAAATAAAAAAAAAATAAAGCAATTCAATTATAAAAAATGATATACCTGCACATAATGCATATATTGGCGAGCAAACTGCAATTCTTTATCAGTGAATATTTCATATAATTCTCTAGTTTGCTGCATAACATCATCAATTGCTGCATTACCTGAATTATGCGCCCATGTAGCCAATGATTCTACACCACGACGTTGTGACTCAGCAATTTTTGTCATTAATTTTCTAGAATAAATTTTATCGATGTCTTAGTTTTGCAATTATTTTAAAATGAAAACAACACCAAAAACCATTTAATCATTCAATACTGAATGCTTTCAATAATAGCATAAAATGTTTCCATCAAATCCATATCCTACTTTTTTTGCCTTTCAAACAAGCATTGTATGATGAAAAAACACCCAGTTTTTATCGATTCATATCCTACATTTGTTCATTTTGACTTAAATAAAATCAAATCATAAAAAAATTATTTAAATAAAACAAAAGTATAATGCTTGTTATTGATATTTATTTGCAGCAAAGAATTGCAAATACTAATTCAATAGGAACAAAGCATATACCCTGTAGTGGATAAATCTAGCAATGCTGATTGAACTGATCCTGAATCACCAAGAATGCTGCCAGTTTGCAAAAATTGTGATAATTTGCCAAATGATGTAGTTCGGCGTCCTCAAAAGTTTTCATTCAAGAAAAAAAAAATCTTAATGAAACTCTAACTTGAAAAAAAAAACATATAAATTTCAAAAGTAGCTAGAAAAGATAAAATTCAAACAAACTTCGAAATGATCTATCTGTTTTATCAGTATTATCTCTAGTGCTACTGCTGCTACTGTTGTTGCTACTATTATTCATTGCTGGTAAAGCGGAACATGAATGCCTGAATAAAAATTAATGATAAATTTTTAAACTGTATTAAATTTTATTTAGATCAAAGAAAATAGAAAATTTGGGAGGAATAAATACTGGTAAATCCGAGCACTGATACCTAATAAAATATACAGAAATTACTTTCCTTTTTTCTACTCTATAAAAAGTCCCATTTTTTTTTTCTCTTTTATCAAAGATAACTTCATCAATTTAGCACTTTATCTTTCCATTTTTACAACTATGAAAAGAGAAAAAAAATTTTTTCTCTCTTTACAATAAAAAATAAATCACAATAAAATGTGATAAATGTAATTTCTTAAAATTTTATCATATTACTCTACAATTAGTACAATAGTTGATAATATAATAATATATTTTCTTCCTAATAAAATTTGAAAAAAAAAGGAAAAAAAAAAACCTTTGAGAACGTCGCATCATTAATTGTATAAATAATTCTTTCAGTGAATGATTCAGCAATATATCTTCGTCAAATTGAATAATATGAACACAATGTAATTCTCTGCAAAGAAACCAATTGAAAAAAATATATTAATAATTTTAAGCGTTAGTCACGTATGTTTCACGTACGTTAACAATATAATAGAAAAAGACACATTCACAACAACAACTAAAGAAATTAGAGATTTAGAGTGGAGGAAAGACAGTGAAAAATTGGTTAACATAATGACCCTTTGTCGTTGCGACTCATCAATATTCAAATACTACCAAGCATGTGGTCCACTTGTTTGGATGACCCTGTCCATTTGACGAGAGAGAGGGAGAGGGAGAGGGAGAGAGAGAGGGAGAGGGAAATAGAAAGAGGGAAACAATGATATATAAGAAAGAGTAGGGGAAAGAAAATATTGGACATTACACTAGATGTAATCATCATAGGATTATGTAAATGTTAATTTTAAAATTTATGAGAAATATCAGATTCAAATTTTAGAACATGAAAAATCCAATTCAGTAATTAATTTTAAAAAAATCAGTAGAAATGAATTCTCCGTATATTTGATTCTAAAATCTAAATGTAACTAACATTAAAATAAATTATCCAAGCGGAATCTGTCAAATTAGTCGAAAAGAAATTACAAATTGAGATATACTGAAGTGTTATCACCTTAGATCTTTGAGATACAATCATAAAATTTGTTAGAGGATTAGTGATTATATTTGTTACTAATTATCATTAGTTACTAGTTAACTAAGAACAGAGAATTGCTAACATCAAATGCTTATAATAATTTACTTTTTCATAAATTTTAGATATTATTTTTGTTATTTCAGAAATTTTGAACGTTATTGCATATACTATTTTATTTTATGTGTGTTGCTTAAAGAGATATACTGAAATAATGAATAAACCGAATTATTACTTCATACCTCTCTATTAATTACTTCACTCATCATTTATCCACTAATTCCTTATCAGTTATATTTCTGAAAGATTTTAAGCATCCAATTTGTTATCATCAAAAAATTGAAATGTTTTTAAAGCCTCTCATTTTGCAAGTTCTAACTGCTGAATTGCAAAAAAAATAAACTTGTCGCATAATAAATCTCCAATCAGATGATCATAAAACGAATTGTCATAGGTTTTGAATTTCACGAAGTGAATTCAATTTGTTACGTATCGATGTAAATGAAATGTGCTAAAATATTAACATGTAATTATTTTGTTGTTAACATAATATGACAATGTATGATTCATTTCTAATGCTCAACAAAATAGAAAAAAAAAAATTACATTACAAAATCTACAAAATTCTACAATATATCGAAGTTGAGCAAAATGAAAAAAAATATTTGATATGTACTAAAAGTGAACAATAGCTGTGTGAATAATGAATAAGGCCACAATCTGAAGATGAATAAAAGCTGTATTTTGAACATTGTGATTTCGGGATAAAGTTTTTTTGTATTATTAGTGTCAAAGGTATGTTTTCTCCTAAATTATACTTAACAAAAAAAGCAAGGAAGCATGAGCAACACAAATACTTTTCATCACAAATTCATACTAGATTTATGCATAGTTCCAAAAATATCTCTAAGAAAAACAAAAGAACTCTCTTTAACAAAAGAGTGAAATCAAACAAGTGAAATTATTTTTATGAAAAGTTTGAAATATCATTGCGACTGAAATTTTCCGTTTCAAGCCAATCCTTTTCTCCATTTTACTTTAAAGCTGCTGATACCTTTTCACGCATTTCCTAAAAGTATAAAATGCGAAAATATCTGTCTTAGTTCAGTGGAAGTATCTCAGAAAAAACAGAAATAAAATCACAGAAGCAACTACTGCGTGATTCTGTTAGCATTTTCCGTAGAAATTTTCCTGGATAGAGTTTATGATTACTGTTAGCGAGTCAATTTTAGGAAAAAGTGAATTGGAAAATAAAAGCGAAAAAATGAAATCATTGGAGACTAGATAAACTGAAGTATTTCAGTTTTTACCATTTCTTGATTTCATAAACAACATATTATCACGCTTGTATGCTTTTAAAAAAATTGTGGAAAAAAAAAAACGGACAGCGATTGCTTTTGCTGGATTGGGAGTTTTAAGAATCCCTGTTCCTGACACGATTACATTAGCACCAGCTTTTGCGCAAATATCCACATTATCCAAATTAACACCACCATCAACTTGAATATTTAAGAATGGATGTGTAGAACGAAGAATCCGAACTTTCTCCATCATATCTGACATGAACTTTTGACCTGAAAGAAGCGACAAAAATCCATATGGACAATTCATTAGGATATGTTTAGAAATACTAGCTAATTGTAAATAGCAACTGATAGATTAATGTTAATAAAACTGCATGCACCTTCCTTCGTCAGTATGAAATTATAAATAGACTAAGCGTACACTTTTATGATTCACAACATTTTGCCCGCGATCCATCACAATATTGTGAAGTACTTCTAGCAAACTTGTTATCATATTGCTTGGCATTATCACAACATAAAAATTGCCATTTTTACAAACAAAACTTTTGTATATTCTGTCACTACAGACTTCATTTTTTTACTATCCAAAATGAGTATACCTTTCTTTTTGGGTTAAAATCCCTAAGCGGTGTGTCAAATAAAGGAACGCATGCTGCATGCAATTTGCAAAAGAAATGCTATCATTCTTACAAGTAAATAAATGCAGCCAATCGATAACCTCCAAATCCAGGTTCAACGGTCATTACTAGAATCATATCCATTCCAATAAGTGTCTCTATCTTCTCTATTGGCGTACCTGGTTTTATTGCTACACCAACCTACAAAACAAAAGTAAATGAACGATTTTGGCACATTTAAGCTTCCTTAATATTGCTGCGAATTTTAATCATAAAAATGCAACAAGTAAACTTTGTGTGTAGCCATCAATTATTTTAACAAAATGACTCATTAGACAAAATAATGACTACAACAATATTTTCAACTCAAACATTTCAAACCAAAAAAAGCCATACATAAAGTAGGATTTAGCGTACAATACAACAATACTACAATTGAAAATACCTTTTTTTACTCATGAACATGGAGAAATTTTCCATTTTTGATCATTCTTCGTCAAGAGAGATGACAAAGAAAGATAACATAGACAGTTGTAAACAGAATATATTTTTCGTAACCTTTACTGAACTCTTTTTTTACTTTTCGCGCGATGCAAAATTTTAAAATCTAAACTTTGTTCTATCAACGAAGTACGGTCACGTTTATCACTTATTAATGATACTTTATACATCTGCAAAATCTACTGCACATCAAAAATGGTAGCATATTTCCGTTACAGCTCTATTACTTGACAAGAAAAAAAGATCTAACCTTCATGCCAGAACGTTTAATTCTGTCAATAAGCATCTGGCAGCTTTTATCAGACTCCACAGCTTCCACGTGAAACACAAATTGGCTTGCACCAGCCTAAATTTACGATAATGCTTTCCGATTCATGACGCATTTATTCCTAACGACATCATCCTTTTACAGCGACCATGATGATAGCTATGATTCCAATAAATATATAAAAATAAAAACAAAGAAGAACCTTTTTCATCGGTTCCACCCACTGCTCCGGATTAACAACCATCATATGGACGTCAAAAAATGGTTCTGATCCTAGATTTCGTCGCAAACAATCAATGACTGAAAAAAAAAAATCATAAAAATATAAAGAAACAAATTAACCTAGATCACCGCATACAAAATTAGACGGTAGCATGAAAAAAGGTAGCGTATAGTAATAATCATTGTATGATAATACAATGATTATGCATATGATCCAGAATGATGTACTACAATGGCTATCACGCAGCAATAAATACTATCCGGAATAACCAAAAAAATAATGGTAATTCGGAAGAGAGGAAGAAATAAACGTACTGATTAGGTAATCAAATCTTACCCGGATGTCCAAATGTTAAATTGGGCACAAATTGACCATCCATCACGTCAAGATGGAGATAATCAGCTCCAAATTGCAATAAGCTTCGACATTCGTCCGCAAGTTTAGACAGATCGGAATTTAAAATTGATGGACATATTATAGGCCTTAAAGTATTTATGCTAGACATTTCCTGAAATAGAAATTGATAGAACATAAAAATGAAATGCATAAAGTTCATCGGTTTTGATTTCATCTTATAATAATTATGCTTCTTTAGCTTTTACAATACGCATTTTACTTTCAAATATTTTAGCTTTATAATAATTCAACTAAATTTAATATATTAATTTGCTATTCATCAACTATTTAACAACTAGCTAAGGCTTTTACATATATTTTAGCTTTACAACATTTCAATTACACTTAATACATTAAATTATTATAATGTCAACTAGCTGAGAACAGAACAGATTATTTTAAAACTAGAAATTCACAACTTTCAATTTCGATCAATCAAATATTACACTTCCTATCACTTCCATTACGATTGTTTGGAAGAAAAAAAGAAGAATAAAAAATTGAGAAATAACATTTAAGAATTAAAACGGTCCATATCTAAACGTGAACATCGCGCTATGAAAAGTAAGATTCAGGAAGGGTTAGAAATTATGATGCATTTATTAATTTAATTAATATTATGCGAGAATCAAATATTAAATATGCGAGATTAACGTATGTATGTTTATTTAGTATTAAATTAAATTGCCTAATAATAGTGATTTTGTTTTTCTTTTTTATTAGCTTTCGAATTATAATTTGCTATTACTTACTATATATATTTTATTTTAAGGTTACGTTTAACGTCTTATTGTCAACATAATTTTAAGGTTAACGTTTAACGTCATATTTTACGTTTAACGTCTTATTGTCAACATAATTTTAAGGTTAACGTTTAACGTCATATTTTACGTTTAACGTCTTATTGTCAACATAATTTTGACGCAAGTAAATAAGTCCTTTCTTTTTTCTTTGTTTTTCTATTATATTTCCTAGAATATTTAGTTTTCTTAATAATTTCTTTTGACTGAAATGACATTATAATGAATTATTGTTTTTAATAAGAATGAAAGAGTGTTGATTAGATGAAATGCTTATTGGGTCATTTTAAGTGATTAAAAAAATTTCCAATTTCATAAAGTGTATGTAACTTTTGTCATTCTTAAAAATTGCATACTCTCAATTAGACCGTTAAGTAGTACTTTCTTCTTTTTTTCTCTCTCTCTTTTTACCTCTCTCTCTCTCCCTCCCTTTCTTTACCTCATTATCATTTTTGTTTTTTTTTTTTTCCTCATTTCACTAATTTTGGTTTCTCTTTTAATTAAGTTAATTTTACAGCGCTTTCTCTTTTTTTTTTTTTTCTTTTTTTTTTTATTCTTTTATTTCTGTCATTATTCACTTAATTTACAAAAATTTCAAATTACCACAATTGTCTAAGCTGCACAATTCTATCAATTAAAATTCCAACATTGTCCATTTATTTTCAGAGAGAGAGAGAGAGAGAGAGAGGAGAGAGAGAGAGAAAGAAAGAGGGAAAATTAGTTAAAAGGAAAATTAGTTATTTATTTATTTTTTCGTGATTAAATTTACATTTTATTTCAGTCATAGGTTTTCATTTCCAAAAAGAAAAAAAAGAAAAAAGAGCAAATTGATATTCCAAAAATTAAATTTCGTCTGAAAAATTATGCAACAATATGAATTGAACAGTTGCACTTAAAAAAATGTCATAAGAGAATAAGAAATTTAATTATTTATTTATATATATTTGTCGTTATCATTTATTGATAGTTTATCAAAGGCATTTTAATAATTATTATTAGAAATTGGGCTCTAAGCCATTTGTTTAATATGCTGAAAGGATTAAAGTGCAAGAAAATTTGATGTTTAAATTCTTGAGATAGGCAAAAAAAAAAAAAATGATCGATTTGATCAGAATTCTAATCGAGTACAAATCAATGAATTGATCGCAATGTAAATACTCAGAAAGTATGCAAATATCATTGATAGTTAGATAAGACTGTCTCTAAAAGATAATATCTAAAATGAAAATTTGAAATCAAATTAATAAAAAAGGGGTCAAATTTTGAGGAAATATTTCATAGCATTAGATGAATATATGTTGTAGAAATTTAAATAATTCAGAAATTTAGAAAAATGTTTTGAGAAATATAACAACTCAGAGAAACGCCAATATACTCAAATTTTATTTTCATTTTTTTAAATTTCTTCAAAAAAAAAAATAAAAATAAATAAATAAATAAGGAACAAGAATTACTGACCAAAAAAAAAGAAAATAATAATAATAAGAGAGCAAAACAAAAATTGTCATAAAATTTTTTCAAAACAAACAAAACAGTATAGAATGCAAGAAGAAATGAATTCGCGTGAATTCGAAAAAAGAATTTAAAAATGTCAAACTTACTTTTTATAAATTTTGCCTTTTCTAACTTACATCTAATCTCTCACTTTTATTACTAATTTACCGAATTGTTTTCGTAAAATGAAGATCACATTAGAAGAAAAAAATGAAAAAGGGAATATTCAACAAAAAAAAAAAAAAAAACTCTAGGAATATTTTCTAAAAAATCAGAAATGTGTTTGATGGACAATGATAATATTTTAGAAAGAAACACTTGATAATGATATCACAGCATAATAATATGATTAGCACCTTATTCAGATTATCATTGATCAATCACCCGAGAAAAATATCGCCATTACTTATTGAACTTTGTTTTATTTACTAATGAACTGTTGTTATTGTTGTTATCGTCGTTGTTGTCCTTGTTGTTGTTGTTGTTGTTGTTGTTGTTGTTGTTGTTGTTGTTGTTGTTGTTGTCCTTCTTCTTCTTCTTCTTCTTGTTCTTCTTGTTGCCGTTGTTGTTGTTGTTGTTGATCAGATGTTTCTGAAATTATTTTTCGAAATATGGTGCGAATTTTTGATTATTCTATTGCTTTCTCAATTGTTAAATATTTACCTATCTATTTGCAATAAATATAACTTCTTGCTGTTCTTTTTTTTTTCTTTTGCTGCATCAATATCAGATCAAAAAAGAATGATCAATGCATTGAAGGATATAAGTAGGATAAATTGCAATAATCTAAATTCTAATCTAAAATCAAATTTCATTTTTTTTTTATCTAAAATTCTCATAATTTCAAAGCAAAATTTCCACTTACTATTCAATATATAGCTAATTTCTCGCTCATTTCGTGAGATTGTCAAACTATTCATTGAAATATCATTGAGAATATTAGTTGCCCAATTATCATTATTATCTATGATATGATCACGTGGCATCCGTTCATTTGATAAGAAATCACAACGGCAACGAGGCGGATTGCAACATGGTAAAACTGCCATGGAAAAATTACCTGAAATATATTTAAATTTTTGTTTCAAGTGATGAATTAAATGTATTTCTATCATATATAATCAAGATAGATCTAACTTTTAACGATGGCAACACAGGAGGTGATTTTATGTCAACATGACATGTTGTCATCATGCGTCTTCTGCAACAGTTGATAAAAATATCTAATCAGTAAGCTGATATTGTATTTATCATCAAATAATAGTTAAACTGAATGTGTAAATATTTGATTTTAACTCTATACTAACTTAATTTTTAACAAAAATATTTTATGATGATAATTATAGGGAAAAAAAAGATGTTTGTTAATTAATAAGCATTCTCATTTATTTATTTAATAAGAATACTCATTTATATTAATAAAATAATTTTTGTTTTACCTAATTGTTGTGGTACTGGTGAAAGAGTTTGTACATGTTTATCACGTATTCTTATCACATCATTCATAATTTCCAGTGTTTTTTGATCATTCTGTGGCATTGGATACATTTCATATGGATCAACAAGTAGATCGTAAACAAGTGGTGGATTATGAATATGTAATTGATCTTCTGGACATCGTTGTGATACATACCTAAAAGTTGAAGTATTTTTAATAAAAATAATATATATATATTTTTTAAATATATTTTCAATTTTCACTTCTTCAAATAATTCAAAAAAATTTCTTTATTTGATACATTTAATCTTACCAATCATCGACAGGTTTTCCACCTGGACATAATTTATTCATTAGTGGATCATCAGTGCTATTTTTGAAAATTGGTGATGTTTTAAAATGCACCTAAAAACAAAAATATCATCTATTTCCATTCAAAAATAGAGAAAAATCATAGATTATGAATAAATTTTTATTAAATTATTTGTCATTTAGAAATTTTCAATCTTTTTAGCATTTTATTTTACAATTTAAATTGTTTCCAATAAATATTTTTATTATTTTTTGACTTAAAATTTTTCCAATTATTTTTACTATTATTACAAGAAATTATACAAACTTTATGATTTCCATAACGAATTGCCATCAAATGTGTATTACAATAGTAGAAAATTGGTCTTTCAAGAGCTAATGGTGCATCAAATACACGATTTCCTCTAGAATTTGATGATAAACCTTTAAGTTGGTGCCAAATTTCGATTCCATCGTAGAAAACATTTCTTCGTTTTCGTTTTCTCTGCAAAATTTTTGCTTTTTATATCAATTACTAAAATAACTATCATTAGCAATAATTTCCATTAATATTATAGTAAAATAAAAATTAAAATAATTTTGATACTATCTCAGAAAGAATAATTTAACCATTTTATCTTATTTTAATATATCATTTTTATTCTTAGACTAGTTATTGTTAAAGAAATGAAATATGCTAATGTTGTAATAAAATATCACAAATATAATTATCATTTTGTAAAATAATTACTCCTTTTGATGCAAGTTGTTCAAATGTTGGAAATAAATCAAGTGACCATATAACTTCGTGTGATATAACACCAGAGCGAATCGTTCCTGGCATCCAAGAAATAAATGGTATTCTAAATCCACCTTCAAAACTATTGGATTTGCCACCTAAAAGTTAATCTAAATAATTCAAAAATCAATTTTTTTCTAAATTTGAAAATTTTTAAATGATGAAAAATTGATTTAAAAAGAAAAAAAGAAAGCAGTAACCTTTTAAACCAGCCGTACTACCACCATTAAGACAAAGCTCTTGATGTGGTCCATGATCTGACATTAATATCACCAATGTTTGCTTTTCAATTTTTTCATTTCGTAAACTACGTAAAACTTGTCCAACAGCCCAAGCCATTTCATTAATATTATCACCAAATAAACCTAAAAACTTAATCTATTAGAAATTCAAAAAAAAAAAAGAAACAATGAATAATACTATAATTAACTTTACAATTGTTATATTTGCAAAAATTGCAAATAATTTTCTAATCATTTCGTCTATAATCATTTAATCATTGAAAAGATCAATAATTTTTACTTTCAACAAATTAAAAAAAAAAAAAAAAAAAAACCTCGTACGGAACTGTGTCGAAAACGTTTATTAGCAAATTGTGAGCTATGCACATGTGGAAATGAGAAATAGAAAAAAAATGGCTTCTTTTGAATATCAGTTTCCATTCGTTGCCCTGAAATTTTATATTTCTTTTATTCAACATTCCTTTTTTTTTTTTTTTAAATGAAAGTAAAATTATATCAAAATGAATTGCATTATTTTTTTTTTTAATTTAATTTTTTTCTCCTACCACATTTACATGAAAGATAAATTTCTTTGTTAATTTTTAAAATTCAAGTAATAAAATTAAATTAATTTATAAAGACTAAGGAATAATATTCAATAATTAGAAAATGATGACAAATGTTACTTACAAATATGAAAATTAAAAAAAAAAGGTTAAAAATTTGAAATATTTTTGATTCAAAAAATTCTTTATATCAAAAGAAAAAAAAAAATTTTTTTAAAATAAGTACGTAAAAAACGTTTCCAATCGTTAACTAAAGCTTCAGTTAAATGTTCAAAACGTATTGGTTGTTGAACGATGAAATCACCATCATATAAAAAACATAATGTTCCATTAGGACTACTAACAAATTCCTGAAAAATTTTTGATAATTTTGAAAAAAAAAAGCACTTTTTTTAGATAATACTAATAATGTTTAATATTAGCTAATAAATATTAAATGAATAAAGATTTCTTCATTTTTGTACAAATATTATGCATAAAAATAATTTGCATCTTCTAATTTCAATTTTAATTATTAATTTTATGGTAGGCTTTTTTTTTTCTGCTAAGAAATTTTCTATAATAGGCGCTTTTGTCTAATGCGCTAATATCATGTGAACTTATTATGATTATTTTATAAACAAAAACCTTAGACGTATCACATTGCCATACATTTGTCCATGGTAAATTTAAACCAACAAAATCAAAACCACGTTGTGATGGTAAAAATGTACCATCAGTTGAATTATATTTATTAATACCCAAATGCCATTTACCAATCATACCAGTTACATAACCTACAAATTCAGGTAAATTCAATTAATTCATTTTAATTAGCATTTAAAATTGAAAATTATTGATGAATTTTCTTTTTTTCTTATCAAATAAAATTGCATATAAATATTTAAATATGTTGAAAATATTATAATTTTTCTGCTAAGATATCATCAAATTTCATATTTTGGTTAGATTATTTTTTAAATTTGAAAATAATATATCTTACCATATCGTTTCAACATTTCTGCAATAGTTTCCTCTTCCTTTGGTAAACCACCGATATCTTGTGGTAGAAATACTCGTGCTCCACCTGTTACACCTAATCGAATTGGTAAACGTCCTAAAATTAAATCATTTCTTCTGATATATTTTAAATTATAATAATAATAATAATCTTAAACTTATAATTTGATACTTTATAAAAAATTTTAAAAAATTATAAAATTATTAGCTCTATTTTCCTTGATTGTAAATAAGTTGATAGTATAATCTGATGTATTCCTTTCTTTTCTTCCTTCCTTTTTTTTTCTCATTACTATATAAAAATGAAAGTTAACTTAGATACCAGTCATAAAACCAGCTCGACTTGGTGAGCACATACTATCAGCCGAATAAGCTTGCGTAAATCGTACACCTTCACGTATCATATCATCAATTTCACCAACTTCCTGATTTGGATGTCCATAACTTTGTAAATCACCATAACCTAAAATTAGCAATTAAATTTTTGAATTTAATGCATACAGCATAATTGTAAAATATAAAATTGAATTTATGAATTTTAATCGATAATTTTTTGCTATCTAAATTTATTGTCATAATTATTCATTTCATAAATTTCTCTTTAATTTAAATTGAAAAAAAAAAAAATGAATAATACGAAATTATACGAAACGTACGAGATATGTAACATATGAAGTAAATAAATAAATAAACAAATTAATAAATTACTTAATTAAATAAATAAATGGATAAATTAATACAAATTTTAGCATACCTAAATCATCGACCATAAGGATTACAATATTAGGTCGTTCCGGTGTTGCCGGTTGTATGTCACATAAATGATCAGCGCATTCATACATTCTTCGTCCAAACACCAATGCTAACATAAATGATAATAGTATAATCCAAAAGCTAATTAACCATTTCATTATTACACTTAATTATTCCTTTTATCGTTATTTTATCAATTCACCTGAAATTTACTCTATGATAAAAGGTGGAAGAAAAAAAAAAAATATTTTCCGAATTATTTTCTGAAAAAAAAATATTATTCTAATCAAAAAAGGAAAAAAAAAAACAATATCCTTTTACTTATCAGATAATCATTCTAATTATTTTTGTTGAAGCTAACTTCCACGAAACGTACGAGATATGTGACAATTGAAATAATACATGCATACATGCATTATACGTGCAATAAATTTGATTATTGTTTTCTTTTCTTTTTCATTTTTTTTTTCCCTTTTTTGTGAAATTTTTCATAATGTGAAATTATGAATTAAACGTAACGATAACGAATAAATATTGATAAATAGCAATTAAAATTAATTTTCATCATTTGATTGTTTATTTTTGTTTTTGGTTATCATTGTTTAAAGTGTAAATAATGAGAAAATATTGTACGAAAAAAATAATCGCTTACAATTTCACGTGTTATGTGTTATTTTATATTAAATCTCTTTTTTTTTTTAACGTGCACTTCATTTTTATTTACGTAAACGTGTAAAAGCAAAAAAATCTCTTTTTTTACGTGCACTCCATTTTTATTTACGTAAACGTGTAAAAGCAAAAAAAATCTCTTTTTTTACGTGTACTTCATTTTTATTTACGTAAACGTGTAAAAGCAAAAAAATCTCTTTTTTTACGTGTACTTCATTTTTATTTACGTAAACGTGTAAAAGCAAAAAAATCTCTTTTTTTACGTGTACTTCATTTTTATTTACGTAAACGTGTAAAAGCAAAAAGAAAAGAAAATAGCTAATCATTACACCAAAGAACTAAACCTAAGAAATAATTTACGTAAACAAACTTGGTTGTTTTTTTTTTTTCTCTAACAATTTCATATAAAAACATTTATATTTAATCGATATATATTCCATTTCAAATTTTTAATTCACAATGATTAATCGATAAATTTTATTTTATTTCTATTATCTAAATTTTAATTAATAATATCATTTTACAAATGTATTATTGATTCCATAAAATTATTCAATTCTTTATGCTTTCTTCTAAAAAATTAATCTTTCATTAATAATATATAAAAATAGCATGAAATTTACTTGAATTAAGTAAAACTTACATCTAAAACTATCTTCGTTTCTTTTTTTTTACACTTTTTAATTATTAAATAAAAAGATAATTTAAAAAAAAAAAAAACAAATTTGTTGTAAGAAAGGAAGAAAAACAATGATTTGATTGATAAGTTTACTACTACTATTAACATTTGAGTGTAGTTTAACATATGTAAGCTTATTTTGTAAGCTAAATAAAGTTTATTAATTTTAAAAATTTTTTTTTTTTTTTAAAGAAGCGATTATTTAAGCAAAAAGAAATTTGTTAAAATAAATATAAGAGAAAATTGTTTTTTTTTTTAAAAAAAAAAGAAAAATAATAATAATAATTCAATTTTCGCGCGTAATAATTCAAATATGGCAGGAAAATGAATGAAAAAAAGAAAATTTGAAAATGAGAATTAATAAGAAAATTTTATGCTAAAAATATTTTAGTTCACAAAAAAAAAAAAAAAAAAAATTTGTAAATTAGTTTAATTCATTTAATTTTTAACAAAATCTTTTGTACTTTTCGAAAATTAATGAGCAAAAATCAATTTTGTACGAATGTTTGTTCATCAAAAATCAAATTTTCATGAATTTTTCCGATTTAGTTAGCAATTTTTTTTTTTTTTTATTGGAATTATGAAAAAAAAAATTTCTTTTTTGATAATATTAAATTAAATTTCAATTTATTTTATTTTTTTATTGATAAAAATGATGAATTATTATTTGATTAAAATTATTTTATACATATGCATATATATATGTTTTATTTGTTTACTTATTTATTTATAAATATATTAAAATTATTTTATTGCATTCCTTTTTTATGCATTCATCTGTTAAACGTTTTTTTTTTTTTTTTTTAAAGAAATAGAATTTGAAAATATAAAACAGTTATCGTAGAATTAATCAACAAAGAATAGATAACAAAAAAAAGAAATTATTGTTAGAAAAGTCAAAGGGCAAAGGTCATCACCATCATCATCATTATTATAATTATTATTATTATAATAATTATTATTATCCATTCATCTCTAGAGATTGTCATCGTAATAACGAAAGAAACAAAAAGTGAAAGAAAGCTTCATTTTTGATCAATCAAATTAAAGCATTGATAATTACCCGAAAGGAAGGTAAAAAAAAGGTAAAAGATCCTTCTTCTTCCTTTAAACAGAAATACTTATACATACACACACACACATACATACATGCATAAACATGCACACATACATGTATAAACATACAACATACACATACAAACATACAGGTTGAGAAATTTCTGTTTTAAAATTTAATGTATTTGTTGTATGAATTATCGAAAGATATTTTGAAAGATAATTTATTTTTTTCTCAGACATGTGGAATAGATAATTTTGTAAATGTTTGTGAGAGATACTTTACTTAAATTTGATTTGAATTTAAATATGATTTTAAATGAGAGGAATAAATGAAGAATGAAAGAAGGAAGAAGAATGAAAAAAGAGGAATGAAATTTTTAAGAAATAAAGATAGGGAGAGAGAGAGAGAGAGAGAGAGAGAGAGAGGGAAGTTGAATTGACCTTGATAAATCATCTCACTTTTCTTCATTATTTCCACAATAAACCATGCTATGTGTACACTGGTGATGCAATTCAGGATACTTCACTTCTCCTTAAAAGATCAGAGATCATCCGGAATAATCAACAAAGAATTTTGCTTGAAACGGGAAGTGATCAATCAAGAATTGAACAGGAAGTAAAATAAAAAAAAAAAAACACGTGAAAAGTTTGATGATGATGATGAAGATTACGCGATAGTGATCGTGACGATAGTGATAACAATAATGATTATGCGATAATGATAGTGATAATGATGATAACAATGATGGTAATGATAATGATGATGATGATTTACGAGTAATTTTTTAACAAATTTATGAAAATTAATCAATAAAGCAAAATATTGAAAAGATCGACGTAGAAATTAAATAATAAATATTTGATCCACCAGGTGAAATTAGATAGTATTGTAATTTTTATTAAAATATTTGCTTTAAAAAAATTTATAATATCTTAAAAATTGCTTAATCATTAAATAAATCATTTAAAAATAACATTTTTATATTCATATTTGAATAATTCTATTGGATAATAACATTTCTATATATTTACTAGCAGCATGAATTTATTAACTTATTCTTTATATAAAAACTAGATAAAGCACTAATATGAAAAGAAAAACAAAAAAAGAAGGATTAAACGATATGAGAAGAAAGAGTAGAGTGAATGATGATAATGATAATGATAATAGTGATAATGATGATAATGATAAAGATAAAAGATGCCTATTGATAAATAATTATTGTTGATATTATTTCTTGACATCATTTATGATACAATTTTATTTCATAAATATAAATGATTTGAATTTTGCTATAATTTTTTTTCTTTAAATCTCATAATTAATTTTTGGATAAAATTTTAAACTTTTATTCTTATAAGAAAAGAATCAAAAAAAAAAAAGAAAGAAAAGTATAATATTGTAAATAAAATAAATAATTTTAATAATTTCCAAATAAACTTTTTTAAATCGTAAACATCTGGACTTTTGTCCTAGTAAGAAAAGTATCAGAAAACAAAATAGCATAAATACAATAGCGCCAATTTGTTCAATCATATTCTTTTTGCATAACTATTGTTTCGTCCACTTTACAAATTGCATATTGCGCTCATCTGCTAAGGATTGTTATTAATAAATGTTGAATTAGAGAAAGGTAGAAGAAGAAGAAGAAGGTGCTTTAGAGGTGCTTAACAAAAAAATGACACTAAACGATGACATCCACTAGCACATTCAGTTATTGTGGAAAATGATGACAGATAGATCTGAGAGATCATTGATCGAGCAACAACAAAATGCTACTAAATGTATTTGCATAGTTTCTGCTTTTTTTTTTGTTAATATTGTATCCTAAAATTAAAATTTTAGTGATTTTAGTAGAAAGATTTAATGTTTGATATATGGAAAGAATTTGATAGAAAAAAGGTTAAAAAATTGGATAATATTAGCGATTAAATTAGTATTTTTTTTTTTTTTGAGTTATCAGTAGCAAAAAAAAGAAGAAAGTAAACAATGAAATTACTTATTTGATAGTATAGTTTCTCATATAAATATTTTCAAATAAAAAGATATCAAAAGTTTCAATTTTTTTTTTTTTTTTATAGATTAATAAATTGTTTAGAAATTCTTTTTACAGACATTAATTATTACTATCTATTATGATTTAATTGTATATCAAAAATAATATTAAAATATTAATAAAAAAAAAAAAAGAAAAGAAAAGTGGAACTTTCTATAATTTCTATGTAGAAATATTATGATAAAATAAGTATTACTTAAATGAATTATTTAGAGTCTAATAAGCCTTATATAATTAATAAATAAATATAAATAAAATATAAAAATACGAATAATAATTAATTAATTAATTAATTAATTATATAGTTTAATAACAATATAAAATAGTAATTGCTAGAGATTACTATTATTACTAAACATTGAGATGAATTTATTGTACGAGCGGGAAAGATGTAAACATTGATGCGCTAAAATGATTAGCTTATATTAGCTTCAAATGACGTTTCACGTGGAATGCACGTGAAGTGATAAGTTGATACGATTGATATAACAATGATAATTAATTTTATTCTTTCGTTTTTTTATTTTAATAGAATTTATCAACAATGATTTATTAGTTAAAATCGTTCTTTTTTTTTTTGTTATAAGTGCATTTGAAAAAAGAGAAAAAAAATAGAATTTTGCAGCTTTTGATGTAATTTTAAAAAAAAAGAAAAAAAAGTGAAAGAAGAAACTAAGATAATAATACATTTCAG